GTAAAAAGCATCCTCGTAGAAATGGAACATATTACAGCAAGTAAACATGCATCGTGCTCTTTTTCTTTTCTTTTCTCCTTCTCCCCTCTCTCTCTCTCGTTTGGCGACTTACTTGTCACTTGCATGCGTGCGTGGTTAAGGCCTTTACTCTTCCTGTTTCCAGTGCATTTCTTTTTTTTTGTTTGGTTTGCCCAGGTGCACTATACATAAGGGCAGAGCATCGGGCCTCCGGATTACGCCGAAGTCGCGGTTTCTTCCTGCTGTGGCGCTTCTACCTCCTTCTCCTCGGCGGGCGGCTGCTTTCCCTCGAGTGTCTGAATAAACTCCTCCGTCTTCTTTACAAGGGAGTCGTGGAGCGGGCACATGGTGTCGTCGTACTCATTGCGTACCTCCAGCGTTCTGCGAATGATCTGGTCCTGCAGCTTCTGCATCTCCTCCGCCGCGGAACTCATGTTGTCCTTGATCGACTGCAGCTCGTACCGCAGGCGTGTGACCGTCTGCCGCCTCTCCTCCACAGAAAGGGGCGGGTCGGGCATCGTGGCAATCCTCTTCACGCGGTAGTAGTCCCGCAGTGCCCATAGCCACTGCCCAACGGCAGCCAGTGGCACGGAAATGAGGGCAAGGGCCTCCGGGGCGTGGTCAGGCGAGGAGCAGTAAACCTCCAACTCCTCCTGTATTTCTTCAGCGAGAGGCTGCTTCAGCAGCGTCTGCGCACGGCTGATGAAAAACGTAAAAAAGTAACTGTCGCTAAGAACCACTTGCACCGTGGACCACCGGGTGTCTTCCTCCCCGCGCACCCGCATCGCCATCGCCATCGTCGCCAGGGCCTGGTCCGGTGGACACTCGTAGTTGCGTAGCACCGCAAGCTCCTCCTTGTTTACAACGTCCAGCTGCTGATAACTGTCCTGCATCGCCCTCTGCACGGGTATCATGAGGTCCTTCTCGACGGCCTGCAGCTCGGACAGAGGAAGCTTGCGAGCACCGCCACGACGCTCTTGGAGCACAATAATGCGCTCCAGCCAGATGAGCTGCGTTTCAATGTACTTCCGCTTCTGCACACCGGAAAAAATTATACTTCGCAGCGGGGCCATGAGAGGCTCGAAGCAAAGCAGAACACGTGTCAAATTTGTCCGGTACTCGCAACACAGCATACTGAGCTGTGCCGCCTTGAGCTGCACATCCCCCTCAATGTTGACGAGGGCAGCCAGCTGCTTCTCTGTGAGCATGGGCGCCGGGCTCTCAGTCGGCGCAGCGATGGCGGCCATCTCTTCACTTCCCAAGAGAAAACAGAAGAAAAGAAAACGGAAAGTTGCACACACGCGACACACATTTATATTTTGACGGAATAAGGATGTTAATTCGGTTTAAAAAAAAAGATATATAGATATATAAAAAACGACGTTGTCGTTGCTGTCGTTTTTTTTTCCTTGTGCTTTCTTTGCGTATTTCGAAAATGGACGGGGAAAGAGTTATTCGTGTGTGCAGCGGCGTGGCGGCGGACCCCTCGCCCCCTGTCGCCCGCCCCACAGCCGACGAGTGCCCGCCTAATTGCGCAGAAAGTTTGACCACCGCGTGCGGGAAAACTCCTTCCAATTCATCTCCAGCTGCTCGTAGACGTCAGCTGACGTCTGCGGGGGCCAGTTGATTTCCTCCTCTAGTCGTGTGAAGGTGTCAAGTGGGAAGTAGGCCGACTGCAGGTCCTTTTGACTGCGAATTCCCACCGGCCGCTCCAAGTTGTTGAGGCTAAGCGCGATGAACACGTCCTGGTGCTCCTTAATCAGCTTCGCAACCTTCCGCATCTGCTCCTCCCCCATGTCCACCTGCAGCGTGACGTACCGCGCGTACGTCAGCGGGGTGTTGTCGGCGTCGCGAAAACGACTGTACGGGCGCATGATTCCCTCATTTGTGAGTTTGCGGATGAGGCCGCCGTTGTTGTATACCGCCACCGCAATCTCGCGCAGCGCCTGCGAGGTGAAGCGCCGCTGGCGCGGCTTCATCACCAACACAAAGGCGTAAAACACCATCCCTGTTCGTCTCTCTCTTAAATTCTACCGGCCGTGAGCCCCCCGCCTGCGCCGTGCTCCGACGCAGCGCCGCCCCTTCCCTCCTGCGCCGCGGCCAACAAGACAGGGAAAAAGCGAGGATCGTCCAAGAAGACCAAGCGAGAGAAAGCAAAAAAGAAGCAAGCCAGCAAAACACACAAAAAAAAGAAAGAAAAAAAAAAAAAAGAACGTAGGCTCCCCAGCACAAGCACACAGGGGTTGCTTTTTTAAGCTCAGCTCGATCGCGATGGCGCTACCTCAAGTAAAATGCGCAGCTTCCTCGGGTCAAGGTCATTAAAAAGCGTCGGCGAAGCCGCCACTGTCGCCTCAGCATTCGCCGAAGTTGGCTGCTGTTGAAGCTTAAGAAGTCGATCGTAGCGTAAATCATACACATCGCATAGTGCTCGTAAGACACCCTGGGCAATTTGTTCCCGTAGACGGGGTGATCGCACTGCGGCAATGACAGGAATGTAGGCTCGGCCTGACGCCGCCACATTGCCATAAAACGCGTGAAGCTGCGCGGAAATCGTCAACGCGTCCAGCTGTTCGCAATCTAGTTCAAATGTCTCTCCCGCACCCAGAGTAATGATACTGCAGCTGCTGGCCAACTCCTCTCCGCCTGCCACCGCCGGTGCCACACTGTCGTGTGGACGTCGGCAAAAGTAGTGCCGCACAGCACATTTGGAAAGCACCGATGTAAGTTCCGTTGTGAGTTGCTCGACACGTTCGGGAACAACGTTAGAGAGCGGTGTTGTGTGGCCCGCGGCTGCACTTGAAAGCGCGAGTAGGCCCAGGTGTGGGGCCAGTGTTTCCTGCAGGGCGGACATCGTATTAAGCTGCAAAACCAGCTTGCAGGGTTCATCGAGAGCGTTGCTCACGGTGGGCTGACGCGCGAGCACGAGCGGGAAAGACAAAATGTGTTGCACCAGCACAGTGAAAAACTGTTCATGGCACAGCGTGGTGTTGTCGGGGGCAGAACCAACATGCGTAGAGCCTTTGGACAACATTTCCTGCACAGACTCCATGACCTCCGCATGCTTCTCCGCTTCAACCATCGTGGCTTGCAGGACGTGTAGGCATTCCTCCACCTCCGGAGGGGTGGGAAGAACCATGGAGTACAGCACCCGCAGAAGATCTACGCACTGCGCCTGTCGCTTCGAGAGCCCACTGCGGTGGTACGGGTTCTCGCTGACGCTGCGATTGCCAGGGGAGGCGACGCCCCCCGCGGCGGGCGAAGGCTGCTGCGCCTGTCGCTCTTGCGGCTCCGGCGGTTTGAGGCGGTCGTCGTGAAGCACGACACCGTCCGCGTCCACGTCGCCCTCAGCGGCGTAGAGAAAGAGAAAATTCGTCACGAACTCCGCCGCCGCGTCACCGTTTTTTTTGGCCGCCTCCCTCGCAGTCGCCGCCTCCGCCGAGGCCAGACGACGCAAAACGGCGCAGCGACTCACGACGCTGGCCACACTATCCAGCGAGTGTTCCATGAGCTGTTTGGCGATGGTGTGGTACACGCGAAGAAGTTGCAGCTTCGCATCATCCACGACGAGCCGCGTGAGCCCCGCCTCGCGTCCGAGGAGGGCGATGAAAGTGCTATGGCCGTAATACGTGAAAAGCTGCAGAAGGGCATGGGCTGTGCGAAGCCCGCTGGTGAGCCCCACGAGCGTAGCCCCCACAAGCGCTTCCTGCTGCAAGCGGTTCAGCACATGTTGATAGCGCTGCACTCCGCTCGCTGAGTTGGGCGCCAACGACGCCACAAGTCCCGTTGCCGCAGAGAACCACCGCGTGATTCCGCCGGTGAGGCCAATCGGGCCGGAGGGGCTAGAGAGCACGCCGGTGCCGCCACCACCACCCCCCACACCGGAAGTATCACCATCCTGAAGACTCGATGCTTGGCGCAAGAAGCGTTCCAGCACGCCCTCCAGTACACTCTGAATGTGCTTGCAGAGCACCTCAAAGACGGAGTCCAACACGGTGGCTTTTGTTAGCGGCAACTCTGAATTTTCGGCGTGCCCAGGCACGTCTTCTTGTGGCAATGCGTCGTCGTGTTCACCCGCGTCGGCCGCAGCCGCAGCCGCAGCCTTCTCGGCAGAGCCCGCAACTGTCGGCGTGGTCGCAGACACCCCTTGCGGGGACCGAGGTGGGAAAAACGCGCCTAGAAAATCCCCTTCGTCCACAATTACCTGATGAAGCCAGGCGAAGAGTGAGCTGAAGAAGAATATTGGATTGCCAATTTCTGCTTCTAGGGGCCGCGCCCCGCCAGTGGCGTTTGACGCCTCGCTGCCTTTGCCCCCTGCACGGTACGTGCCGGCCGATGTTGTCGCAGAGCCAGTTGTCATGAGATGAAAGTACTGCCGCAACACCGCGGCACGCCGCAGCCGCGCCACCTCCTCCACCACTGCCGTCCACTGACTGATGTTTTCTTCCCGCAAAAAGTTGACGCACCGCAGGCAGAAACTCGTCAACTCGGGCGAATCAGCGCCAAAGCCCACAGCGCCTGGCACGGCTGCAGAGGCAGAGATTAAATAGCGTGCAACCTTCTCCGTCCCCTTCATGATTGCCAAATACGTAATATCCATCATGGACGCCGCACTTTGGTAGTGCTCACGTGAGAGCAGTAACTCGCGGCACCTTCGGTGTGTCTTCTGCGCACTCTGCAGGACGTCGAGGTAGGCGGCGTCCACCGGACTCTCATTAAGAATTTCCTGCTCCTCCGCGCCAAAGTGGTACTTCTCCTGAAATTCCCGCATCTCCCTCTCGCGCTGCTGCACTAGCGATAGCTCCGCCTGAAGGGTCGTCATGAGAGCCACAAAATCCCTTGTTCGTGCCGCATGTGCGTTGAGGGTGGTCTGAAGCACCTCGGTTTCCTGGTTCACCTTCGAAACCGTGTCGGAGACCTCCTCAAAGACGCCGTTGAGGGTCGCCCACTCCTGCAAGAAGCAGCGGTGCAGGTCCACGGCACGACCTTCCAAAGCAGATCGCAGCGCGGTTGAAGAAGATATGGAGGCCACCGGCGGCGGTTGTTGGGGTGAGCGCCTTTGCGAAGCGGCCTTCTCCTCCGCCACGGTTGACACATCGGTGGGAGGCGGCAGAAAGTTTTCCAGGAACTCAGGGACGGCGTCATTCATGTAAAGCACGAGATCGCGGAAGTTGTCGTTGACAGTGATGTCAAGCAACTTTTGCACCTTCCGGCTGGTGGCAAAGTTCCGTGTGGAGGAGGCGTAGCCCGCTGTCGCAAGACCCCCCAAAGCATCCACCGCATCACCGTCGTTCCTTGCCGTTTTCGCTGCTGTCGACCCCAGCTGCGCGACGGCACCGTGGGGGCGCGCACTCAGCGGCCCTGTTCGCCCAGCCGCAGCCGCTGGTGCTGAGGGGGGCGGTTGCTCCACCATTGCTGCTGAACAAGGCGAAACTTTTGTGCCGTGCCGGTTGCACCCCCCGCGTGCGCACGACGTTCAATCCTATTGACTTCTGCCACTACTCTCCCCTCTTCGTCTCGCGTAGCCGACACACACAGACACAGACACAAGCCCTCAATACGAAAAGGAAGAAAGACATGTTCACACACCCACATATATATATGTCTGGCCCCTTCATTTCATTTGTGCCATTTTCGCCCGGCGGCCCCGGGCCCGCTGCAGGGAGCCACAGGCGCACGCTCTCGTCATCCGGCACGGATGTCGTGTTGCAGCTGCCCGCCTTCCTTCCTCTCGCTCAGTTTTTTTCCTTCATCCTCAGTCTTCCTTCCATTTTCTTCCCTCCCTCTTCCTTCGTTTACTCGCAGTTATATTACCGTGCCTTGTTCAATTTTACGCCACCCAACAGCAGACGCCCACGCAGAAGAAAAGACGTCTGCAGACGCGCATAAAACAAGCGCACCGCCCCCCACCCACCTCTTCAAGTAGAGTAAGAGAACGACAGAGAAAGAGAGGACGCGCGCGCGTGTAAACGCAGCACTTAAAAAAGGTCCAGGCGAAACGCATTCTCCGCGGCAATTGGGGGCACACTTGAGCGGCGTACGCGGTGAAGCGTCTTGCCCGTCGCACGCCTTGTGCGGGCCGCGGTGAACTGCGAGGATCCAACCACGTTCTCGCCGCTGTCAAGAAGAAGCCCGAAGGAGGTCGTTCCGAGAGGCACCGGTTTCCCAACGATGATGCTCTCCGAGACGCTGAGGTTCTCATCAACGCGCTGCGTCGCCGCGGCGTTGTAGAGGTGGTCGGTGGTGCGCTCAAAGGAGGCCATCGTCAGCACATTAAAGTTCATCTTCTGGATGCCGTAGCGCGTGATGCCGAGCACAACGCCACGCTGCGTCATGAGGTCCGCGAGAAGGTACACGTGCCGTATGTCAATGCTGAGGCTGTAGGCCTTGAGAATGCCTTGAATTTCGTTCACAATCACCTGCCGTGCCGCCTCAATGCCAAGCACACGCTCCACGACGGCGACGTGGTTACAGACGACGCGCGTCGACTCCACATCGGGAAGGTTCATCACCGCCCGCAGCTCCGCCCCCTCCGCGAGTACCTCCGCCCCGTTGGATGAGATCATCGCACGGTTGATGCCAGCAATACCACCCACAACAATGTCCGGGAGCAGCGACAGCAGGTGACGCAGGTTAAAGTGAACGCGGTGAGCCTCCAAAAAGTATGGATACACCGCCAGAGTATCAAGGCTTATGACCTCCACGCAGTCCTCACGCAAGAGACGCAAGGGCGACATTGGCCGCGCAGCCGCCGCGAGAATGCGTTGACGCACCGTAATGGCATTAATTGGCAGCTGCAGCTTGGCAATCACCGGCATGTTGAGGTGCACGCGAAGGTAGAATTCAGTGCATGTGCATACTTCCACGATTTCCGAGACCACCTCCTTTAGCACCACGCGTTCCACCTGTGTCTTTACACTTCGAACCCGTCTTTCAAACGCCTCCGGTGAGTCGTCGTCCCCCGCTTGCGCCTCCGTTTTAAACAAGAGCGCCTTTTCCCGTCGCAGTCTCCGCACAGGTGCTGTGATAACCGGGGTTGAAATATTGCGGTTCGCATTAATAATTTCAACAAGGCGCGGCACACCTTGGGTGATGCTCATGCTAGCAACGCCTGCAAAGTGGAAGGTGCGCAGTGTCATTTGCGTGCTCGGCTCACCAACCGACTGCGCCGCAATCGCCCCGCACGGCGTCCCAGGCTCACAGGCCTTGCGAATATACTTGCGTGCGCACTGTGCCAGGAAGCGGGTTAGCATCCCCTGCGTCAGCGGGAGCAGCTCCGTTTGGAGGGTTTCAAGAACTCGGAGCTCGGCGGCGTCTTCCCCAGTTGCCGTCTGTGAGCCGTTGCACGCCGCCTTTGCACCTACGCGCTCACGCGAGTCGGAGGAAAGTTCCAGCAGCGCACGAATCCGCCGCTGCTCCCGCACCATCCTTTGAAAGAAGTCCGCCACGTCGTCCTTAAACTTTGAGCTACTCACACGCGACAGTCGGGAAATCAGCTCCGCACGACGCGTCCGCTGGCGCCGCGGCGCATCTCCCTCCCTGCTCCTTCCTTCAACGACCCGCACCCTGTCGTGCCTCTCCTCCAGCCGCTCCAGCCGCTCACACACCGCAAGCGCCTCCGAGTCTCCCGACAGGCACGCCGCGACAAACGCCGGCACCTCCGTGGGCAGCAGTGAAATGGATTCCCCGTCATCATCAAGATATGCGAGTTTGCGCTCGCCGTGCGCACGCTGTGTCTCGTCACGCCTTTGCCCATCAGTGACGCGAGCAACTTTGCTTTTATTCTTGCTCGTGGCGTTGACGGTGCCGCGTCGTTCCACGATCCAGCGTGCATTTGCGGCGCGCGCGCTGAGCCACTCCTGCTCCAGGTTGAGGGGTGTGCCACCGATGCCTTCCATGAGCTGTGGGTCGAGGCCGTCCTCGCCAAACCTAAACTGCACCACGTCCCCCCTTGTGTTGCGGGCGGTGCCGTCGTACCGCACACTTAGGTTCTCCATGGCCTTCATGAGACGACGGTAAATGTAGCCAGTCTCAGCCGTCTTCACCGCAGTATCAACGAGACCCTCGCGACCAGCCATCGTGTGGAAGAAAAACTCCGTTGGTGTCAGTCCAGAGTAGAAGGAGTTGGCGACGAAACCACGCGCACTTGGCGCCTCTTCAAAGCGATAAAAATGGGGCAGTGAACGATCTTGAAATGCGTTCAAAATACGCTTCCCATTCACAGTCTGCTGCCCCACACACGCCATCATCTGCGCAATGTTCAGCGCACTACCCTTACTCCCAGACTGCACCATCATTAGCGGGGTGTTTGTGTCGACAGAGAGCGCTTCCACAGCTGCCGTACCGCACTCATCACGCACCTTTGACAGCTCCGCATTGAGGCGCGCCTCAAGCGACTGCCGTATAGTGAGACCTGGTAGCGGCTCCATACGTCCGGTTTTGGCGGCGTCAATTAGGCCGTCACAGGTGGCGAAGGAGCGGGCAAGCACGGCCGCCTTCTGCTCGTTCAGCAGCGGCGTCGGCGCAACATCGCCGAGGCCGAGACTGAAACCGTAATTTGTCAGGTAGCGCGAGGTAAATTGTGCAATGCGAGACATGACTCGGGCCGTGTATCCGCCGCCCGCAAGTGTGTGTAGGCGTGCGAAGAGTCCGTCTTTTGACCCGCCCCCAAGAAGCTTCTTGTCGAGCCGGCCAGCAATGAAGCAGGAGTCAAGAAATGCCACATAGCCCTCCGCGGCACAGTCTTGCTTGCCCGCCTTCGTGTAGAACTTCGTCGCGGCCTCAAGGTTGAGCAGCACATTTACCTCCGGCGAGGGGCGCACGATCAGTTCAAAGATCTGTTTCCCCGTCCACAGCTCCGCCGGTTTCAGAATCGTCGGTATCGGTAGCCGAAATTGGGTAACCGGCCCAAGCCAGTGGGAGACCATCCATGACATTTGCGAGCGATCAAAAAAGACGTCGCGGGACGTCACGAGGTAGGCTGCGACGAGAAAATCTTGCGTGCAGGCAATAATGGGTTCGCCATTCTTGGCATTGATAATGTTTTTCGCCGTCGACATCAGTTCAAATGCCTCGGCGCGCGCCTCCTCCGTCTGTACGAGGTGCACGTTCATCTCATCTCCGTCAAAGTCGGCGTTGTACGGGGCACAACAGCATTCGTTGAAGCGAAACGTGCGAAACGGCAACACACGTGCCCGGTGGGCCATCATGGAGATACGATGCAGCGAAGGCTGCCGGTTAAACAGCACAACATCACCGTTCATGACGTGTCTCTCCACAACGTCACCAACCGACAATTTTGCCGAAAGCGACTCACGGTCGCGTTCGTTATTAAGCGACTTTTTTGACCCTTCCTGGGCGAGGTAGACTGTGGTGGCGCCTGGGTGTACATTTGGGCCGTTGCGTACAAGCCTACGCATGAGTTCCAGGTTGGACCTGAAAACGCGCTGTGGATACGTCAGTACCCGTGCGACGCGCAGAGGAACGGCGAGCTCATCCACGTCGAGATTTGGGTCGGGAGAGATCACAGAGCGGCCGGAGAAGTCCACGCGTTTCCCACTGAGGTTACCTCGGAACCTTCCATGCTTCCCCTTCAGACGCTGCGCGTAGGACTTGACGTCGGCGGTACGCATGTGCGGCGGAAACCCTGGGAGGGCGGAGTCCAGGAGTCGAGCTGCACGCATTTGGAGCATTTCCCACGTCTCCGTGTATTTGGTGGCATCAATCGAGCCATCCTGAAGCGTGTCGGAACTAGTGAGAATGTCGTTGTATTGCCCTGTGAGGTCGTCGTCACGGACCGCCGCGGTTCCAGAATTGCCGCGCGGTCGCACCGAGACAGGGGGAACGAGCAACGTTGACACGAGCAGGTCAACAGGATTAGTGCCAGGCTGCAAACCAAGAAGTAGGACCTCCTCCGGTGGCACGGCGAGGAAGAGCTGACGCACCCGCGCCGGATCGAGAAACTCGTGCACGTTCTCCTTGCTCTCCTCCACCACCTTGTTGTACGCGCACGCCGTGCGCAGGTCACAGTCAAAAAATGTTTCACCGTCCTCCATAGCCTCTTCCCCGCGACGCAGTTCGACGCGATACTTTTCGTGTACAAGACGTAAAGGACGCACTCGTCGCACGACTCCGTTTAATCCGCCACACTTGAGGCAGACACGCGTCTTGTAGGCGTCGGTCTGTATTGTCTTTATCAGTGCAGCCCGCTGCAGTGGCTCGAGCTTCTTGGAGGCGAGCCGCCGCCTGTAGTACTCAATTTCCGCGTCATCCAGCAGCAAGTGGGAGCAACGCTTGCATATCGTGCGACAGATGCGCAGAATTGCGGTAAAGAAGCCGAGGTGGAAGACAGGGGCCTCGAGGTCGATGTGGCCGGGGTGACCGACGCAGTCGATGCTTCGCAGCCCGCAGGTTGCGCAGACGGAGGCGCGGTCGCAGACGCCGAGGCGGGGGTCGTTCACGCCGTACTCCTTCACAGCCCCAATCACGCGTCGGCACGGGAGGACGGAGAGGCGGTGAATGTCGCTGCGTGAGAGAAGGCCGTAGTGCAGCGCACTGATCTCCACCGGCGCATTCGGCAGTGGCTCCACGAACTGCTGCGGGAGCAGCAAGGGCGCAGTGGGGCCTCCCCCACGCATTTCGGCGCGATTGACGGAGCCCACCCACACCCACGCCCAACGGAGCAGGCACCGCCCACTCCTTCTCAGCGCAACGGGAACAGAAGAGGCCTGAGCGCGCTAAAAGAGGGGGAAAAAAAAGAAAAAGCGCTGAGATCCCCACAGACAGGCTGTTGTGCGTTGTCGCAGCAGCGCGTGCTTCACTGCGGTAAGGCAAAAGAGAGAAAAAAGGGGAAAAGAGAAACGGCAGTAAAGATGCCCCTCCAAGCACGAGAGACAGCAAGGCCTTCCCTCGTCCCCTTGTCCCGTCGGGGTTCAAGTTTAACCGAGCACCGCAGCCAGAACTCCGCAGCGACACACATATATATATAGTGTTCTTGTTGTTGCTGTTGTTTTCCCTCACAGCGGAGGCGGAGTTAAAATGCGGCGCCTTCCCGCTTCCTTATCACAACGTGCAGCAAGCGCCGTTTATCTCCTTTCTGTTTTCCTCCCTGCGCGCTGTTAGTTGAAGTTATCACACGAGTTCATCTCAGTGTGCCGTCCGTTCTTGCCTGCTCCTTTCCTTCTCCCCCCCCCCCTCCGCCTACTTCCGCTCTCTCTCTCTCTCGCTCTCTTTTTCTTTTTTTTCCTTCTTCGCCAGGTCCCCTCGCACTTACAACATGCCCCTCTTTTTACACCCACTGAGGTGTGCGACCTCGCCACCCCGCGCGGCTTGCACTCCCCCCTCGCGCAGGCTCTGCTTGCGGTGCATCACTTCGCCCCGCGCAGAGCCGTGCCACGCACACACACACACACACCCGCAGGCGTATGCGTGCGACACGTGCACACGTCCCCACAACGGCGCTCCACGGAATCAAAGCGAATACCGCCTCGTAAAGAAAAAAAAAGGCGAGAAAGCGAGAGAGAGGGAGAGAGAAGGGAGGGGTCGAAACT